AGGAGGAGGAGGAGGAGGAGGAGGAGGAGGAGGAGGAGGAGGAGGAGGAGGAGAAGGAGGAGAAGAAGAAGATTGCAGCATTGCTACTCCTTTCTTTTTTCTTCCCTTTGGTGGAGGTGGTATTGGCTTTTTTGCTTTACCTGCTCAAGGTATTTCCCAACATTAAAAATGCAAGAGTTGTCAAGCATTATATTAAGCTTGAGTCCTTACGAGAATGGTATCCTGAGTACAGATTTATTCCATAGACTCACATTCCAGTCAATGGTTGAAAAGAAGGGATGCCTCTTTATTTCTTCAACACCATCAGGACCAGCCCCTATAATTTCAGGGAACACAAGGCACAAAATGATTGCCAATCAAACAACAATGACATATGCTGATGAAGGTCCCCACTGATCAATCGAAAAGGTTTTAAAAGTAAATCTACTTGGTATGAGTTCCCTTCCACTAGAAGAATTTGCTCTTCTGACTTTCCTGGTCTTCTATTCTTGTTAAACTCTGGGTCTTCTTGAAGGACTTTGGAACTTGAGTGTTGCAGAGCTCCTGGTGCCAGGAATACACATGATAAATCTTACTTTAATTATATATTGTAACTCCTGGGATTTTAGGTTGCTGTTATGATGGCACTAGCTGCAGGTTTGCACCTGGCTTTGGGTTGCCTTGACCATATATTCATAATGAAATATTTTTTCAAATACTGAAAAAGAAACGCTTTCCAGTTCCCAAGCTTCAGCTTCCCATTTTCTCCACCACATTGCAAGTCAGCTTCAAAAGATTGCAGTCTACGCGGTCATGCTACTGCAAATGAAATATAAACCACAGAAGGGCCCCAAGTGCTTAAGCAGTGGAAGTGACTGCTGTTTTCAATGACAGACCCAAAGGTGCTTTTTCAAAAAGCAACTGGACTTTCTTTGTTTTTCCTTGAAGATGTTTTGCTTCTCATCCGAGAAGCTTCTTCAGGTCTGAAGAAGCTTCTTGAATGAGAGAGGAAGGAAGGAAGGAAGGAAGGAAGGAAGGAAGGAAGGAAGGAAGGAAGGAAGGAAGGAAGGAAGGAAGGAGAGAGGGAGAAAAGAAAGAAAAAAGAGGAAGGAAAGAAAGAGAAAGAGAAAGAAAGAAAGAAAGAAAGAAAGAAAGAAAGAAAGAAAGAAAGAAAGAAAGAAAGAAAGAAAGAGGGAGGAAGGGAGAGAAAGAAAGAAAGAAAGAAAGAAAGAAAGAAAGAAAGAAAGAAAGAAAGAAAGAAAGAAAGAAAGAAAGAAAGAAAGAAAGAAAGAAAGAAAGAATCCAGTTGCCTTTTGAAAAAGCACTTTTGGGACAATCATGATCTGGAAGACTGAGAATCTCTCTGTAGACTTTCAATGTCAGGGTATGCTCTCTTAAAAAAAAACCAATGTAAATTATACCAACGCTAATGTAAAGGAATTTCTGAACAAAAAAACCAAGAATGTTTAGATATTCAGCCGCAGTATTCTCAACAATAGTTGTCATAATAACAACATCTGCCTATCTCAGGTCTTTGGCAATGACTTGCTAGGTGGATAGAAATGCCATATCCAGTCTAAACATCTGGCTGACTCTGTGACCAATTATAATATCAATATTTGTTATCTTAGTTTGGACACTGTGGGCTTTTGGAGTTTCCTATTATACTGTAGTATCACAGCTACCCATATGCTTTTTGGGGAAGAGATGGCTTCTAATTCTATCTTATCTCTCCTCTATATATGCCATTTTCCTAAATTAGCTTGAAAATCAAGACACACTATCCATAATAGATTATATCAGGGAGGTTATGAAATGCTACAACACAATCCACAAACCTGGAGTTTTTGCAAGGTTTTTGCAAGGACTAAAGTATTTCTCTCCTTTATCCTTTGACTGTAGTATTTTGAGGTAAAGGTCCAGAACATCTGGAAATTTCCACCTCAAGAGAGACTGACGTAGGCGGGATTAACTTACCTAGCCTGTTTGAAGGATTCCTTTTAAACAACATCCTTAGAAGACTCTGAGCTTCAGGGCTCAGGAATTGTGGCATTCCAAGTTTCGCTCTGGGAAAAGAAAAAATTTGGATTCAAGAAGTGCTTTCTAATTAAAAAAAATCAAATGCAAACAATTTACTCAAATGGGCCTTTGAACATGTGTTTTCCCCTGCGCAAGTGATTGTTCAAAGAGACAGGAAATTATTGTTCTAACTAAGTATTCTAAAAAGGTGCATTTTTAGCAGCTTATCAAAAATGGCACTCTTGGTGCCAGCTTCAATCTTGCAATACATATAGTATCTTCCTTAGTTTTCATTTTTCTGACTACATTTTTCTTCAGCTCAGAAACAAGATTTAACTGTCTGCTTTTTTGATGGAATTGTATGCAGGTTATTTTTTTTCTGGGAAATCTTTCATACGTCACCACATACGTCACCATCAGGTTATTGGTCATGATTACTAAAATCACCTCACCTCCCATAATCAACATCTGGAAAGCCAGAGATTCCATTTCCCTGCCAATCACTTTAGTATCTCCCATAAGATCAAAGGTCCCTTTGCAGAACCCAAGGCCTCAAAAGCCTCACACAGCTGGGAAGCCAAAGTTGTGTATGCACCATCTTAAAAACAATCCCCCATTCTTTTATATTATCACACTCCAGAAAACATGAAACGGATACAAGATTCATTTTAAATGCTCGAAGAGCTAAACTGCATGTCCTAAAAATCAGTTTTCAATTATTTAAAAAAACTATTAAGTTTTATAAATTGCATAAAATCAACAAACTTTCTGTGTATGTGTGTGTGTCTTCAAATCATTGACTGCCTGGGTTAGCCCTCCTGCAATTGGGTTGGCAAGATTTCAGAAATGCTTTACCAATGCCTTCTTCCTAGGACTAAGAGTGCGTAACTGGCCCGATGTCACTCAGCTGGCTTCATACCTAAGGAAAACTAGAATTCACAGACTCCCATTTCTGGCCTTATGCTTTGAATCACTACACCAAGATACCTCGCATTGTCTTCAAATCAACATTGACTCTAGCGACCAAATTGGCACTGATGTTAATATCAATTTATAACATTTGTATCTTGTTTATTGTCTGGAGTTTTACTGGCTATTTTGCACAAAGGACACCAGTCATTCCTCAACCCACACCATGAGTGTCAGGATTCCAGCAGTTACCCCCCCATTTAAATCATGAGTCTTGAGCCAAACTCCAAAACTTAAAAAGGATTTATTGGGAGTTAAAACTATCCAGCACTGCCTGGTGTAGCCAACTCTGAGACACATCATTCATTGTCACCCTTGACCCTGGTTTCCCCCCACCCCCTGGGTGTATCGTAATTTATATTCTCCAATGGGATACATCCATAGCCAAGAGTCATCAATCATGCTCTCCAGTTAGAATTTTGCGAGGCAGAAACTTCAGTGACCTAGTTACTATCTTTGAAAAACCATTTATGGAATGCAGTTTCAGTTTGCAAGCTCCCCCCTCCCTTTCTGTTGGCAACTCTAAAAAGACCATAGAAATATTTTATGAGTTTGACAATGAGCAGGAAAACTTTATTACGTTATTTACTAAATCCTCGATTTATTTAAAACTTTATTTAAACTTTATTGACTAAATACTTGATTTGTCAGCGTTATCCTAAGGCAGGGTCCCCAACTACCAGGCTGTGGCCTATACAGAACTGGGCTGTGTGAGAGGAGGATCAGCCTACACACAGCGCACATAGCTCAACTCACACAAGCAGCAGGGTAGTGTACAGTTCCACTCACATGACTGGTGGGCTGGCACTCATATACAGGTGTACCGACCTGCCCCTTGCATGGTCGGTTCCCCTCTTCCCTCCCCCATCGCCAAGCCACCAGGCTGCAAAGATTGGGGACCGCTGTCCTAAGAATGAAGCCAAATGCTTGTTTTTTTCTTCATCCATTTTAAAACTGGATAAATACTTTTATGTATTTTTATGGTAAGGGTTCCCTGACGAGAAGGCAGTAACGAAAGTTTTGCTTTGCTTTGATAAATACTTTGAAACTAATTAAAACCCGAAAACCCGAAATAAAAATATCCTATCTCAAAACCACTCACTTTTGCCCATAGTGAAATTTTCAAACAGCTTGGATAATGAAGAATTTTGGGCAGGGGAAACCTCATAATCAATTTATCGTATCAATAACCTGTACTGCATGCCATTTTTGCAACCAACTTGCAAAAATACTTAGCAATGGAGCAGAAGAGAAAAATACTTACTTGAGTATCATGTTCATAGTTTCATTTCGGTCTTTACCTTGGAAAGGTAAAGTACCAGTGAGCATTTCGAACTGAGAAAGAAACAAAAACCAAAAACATTTAGAAAACAAACTAACAAACAAGATTCCAGTTTCCAGAACTGAGATTTAAGAAAAAACCTGCTTCTTATTATAACCTATTCTGAAGGCAGACTAACTTGCACTAAAGCACTAACAGAATTGTTAAATTCATAATAGATTATGCTAAATAATAAATCTATATTAAACAATTTTGATAACATTAAATGCCTTCTAAACACTTTGCACTAATACAGATTTGATTAATTTAAGATATTTCAATAGTCAGACAAAACTATGATGGCTGAAAATACAGTTATAACTTTGTTTAAAAAGTCAACGACAACTATAAAACACTTCATTACAACCATATTCACCATAGCATTATGTGATATGTTTTTCAACATTCAGTTCTGGTTTAAGTGTTCCTCCCTCAGCTAATTGGCTCACAAAATTAACATAAAGCGTGTTCAGTTCAACCAAATAACGCACTTTCCATCTTGATGTAAGTTTAGCAGCAAAAATAATACAATTATAAATTATAACTTATTACATCTCATTAAATTTGTATATCACCAAATATTTCTCACTCCTGGCATCTTGTAAGATAACATATAACAAAAACCCCATGCTAAGAGGATAAACTAAAATAAAAATAAAAGAAACAAAACATTCATGGCAATAAAACCCCAAACAAATATATTTAAGCCACAACTCCAAAAATATCAAACCCAATTACAATTAAAAAAATACATCGATTTGTGTGATCCTTGGTGCTGTCCGAACTTTGTGGTTTTCTTGGAGATGTTTCATCACCAAACTAGACAACATCATCAGCGTGTACAGTTATTAATGATGTTACCTAGTAGGGTAATGAAATGTCTGCAAGAAAACAACCAAGCTCAGAGAGCACCGAAGTCTCCACAGTTCAACCCTGTGAAATGAAAATATTCCCTTCTATTATTCATGCATTGTGAGTCAGAAATGCTTATGCCATGCAACACAAAACCAGGCCATTAATGCACAGTACCATGAGAACACCAAATGACCACCAATCAGCACTTTGGTTGTGGCCCCGCCTGTTCACAACTTCAGGGGCCATGTATTCTACAGTACCGCAGAAAGAATAGGCTTTCTTCTCTTGATCAACCGATTCTTTGCTTAAGCCGAAGTCTAAAACAGCATCACAAAGACATACCAAGCAAAGAAATTATGAGCAAACATCAGTCATAGAAAGATGATGATTAGCATGTAAATCACATCTCCTAGAGATGAGTCAATGATGGCCCTCCAGCTATCATGACAAGTCTATTTTCCTCAACCCTACCCCAATGAGAAGCGATGATGGAAAGTCATGTTCACTTCATGATCTGTTCTTAATCTCTTATCCAGTCATAGGTCATGGTAGAAACTCCAGCCCTTTTGCATTTGCATTGTAATATTGCATGCAGGACATAAGAGTTGGCCAAGCTTGCAATATGTGGTGTTGCTCATGTCATCATTTTCTCCTTGCTGCAGGCACCAAAAAAACATGAAAGGTGACAGGTGATCCTTTCGCTATCTAAATTTAGTAAACTGATACCCAACATGACTATCAATGACCTCTTAAATTAATTACTAAATAATAAATGGCCCCATGCAAGCCCACCAAAATACCCACAAGCTGCATAATGGCACAACAATGTCCTAGTGCTATCTTTCCTCTCCTTTCCTAGTTACCATACATGAATTCATGATTCATTGATGTTACAGCTTGGTTTGAAGAAGACATTATAGCAGGGGTCTTCAAACTTGACAGCTTTACGACTTGTGGACTTCAACA